AAAGTTAATTTATACATAATTCTTTTTTCACGTTTTCTTAAACACTTAAAAATTATATTTTCTAGATTTTTTTGGGTTAAAATCATTGGTTCAAATATTAAATTATTAAATATGTATTTTTCTTGGATTATGGTGTAGAATTAGTACTATTTTACATAAAGATCATATATCACTGTCCATGTATTTTGTTGTACAATTTATGAATAATGTCACCATTTATTTTTTACTTTATATGTATCAAAATTTAAGATTTTTATAGGAACAATTGCAAAAATGTTACTCTTGGTGTGCCATTAATATAATATAGTTAATCCAAATATAAATGATATAATGAGTAAATAATTTTGAAAAAGTGACATTTTTGAAAAGTGTCATTTCTCAAAAATTTTCTTTTTATATTTATTTTAAATTATGGTATTACAACGTTTTCAATTTTTTTCTTTCATATTTCCAAAAAAACTCAAATATAAAATTTTGAATAAAATATTATATTTCAAAATTTCACCTTATTTTTTCATCTTTAGTGTAATTGTTCAATATCCTCTTTTTGAATAAATTTTTTTTTTCATCTATTAATGAATGTTAATTTCTCAAAATTTCGCTTAGTGAAATCATATATCCTCTTTCTTTTTAAACTTTTAACCTCATGACAATCGGTTGAAGCAAAATTATGATGATTAAATAAATAACATATTTTTCTGTTATCTCATATCTTTCATTTACATTTTTATTCATCGCTCTTATATATAAACTCATAATATTTTGATTACTTTCTAACGAACTACAATATAAATGAAATATATTTATTATTGTAATTTTTATTTAGAAAATAAAATACTGAAATAATTCTAAAATATGGTTCGTGTGATACATAAGTTATACAATTTTATTGAACTTAAAGACAAAAATTTGATTTAACCATTTACAAATTTATGCTACTTTTAATCATTCATTTACTTATTTTTAGTAGAATATAACTCGCGCGATGTGTGCTTTTTTTCTTACACCAATTTATACCTCTTATATCTTTTAAATCTATAACACTTAAAATTTTTCTTTCATACTTCCATGAAATTCAAATATGACATTATGAACAAAATCGTATATTCTAAATTTTCATCTTATTATCTCATCTTTAATGAGATGGTTCAATATCCTTTTAGTGAAATAATATATATTCTTTCTCTATAGATCAAAAGTCTCTTAACAATCGTTTGACACTCATATTATTTTTTTTCTTTGATGTCGTTTATATTTTTATTCATTTGTTCTTATATGTATATTCATTTTACATATTTTCAATTTTTGAAATTGAATATATAAAATTTTATCGTTATCATAAACTCATAAGAAAATATATTTATTGTTGTAATTTGATATTTACAACAATCAAATACTCAAATAATTTTATATGTTTAACAAAAAAAAAAATTATATGTACTATTTTTAGTTATTTATTGACTTATTTTCGTCTTTTATTTAATTAGAATTTTAGTAGC